GGGAATGGGACCAAGGCTCAAGACAAGTCTATTCTTGGTTGGGTGAACCTGAGATGTTCTTTCACCTGCAGCTCTTGGCTTTCTCTAACCTTTTTCATCTTGGCCTTTTTTAGACTGTAAGATCTTTGAGGAAGGGGCTGCTTCTCATTTGGTCTTTATAGACCACTTGACACGCTGGGGCCCCGATTGCAGCTGGTTCCTTGAGGTTGTAATGTGGGTTTTGTGATATGTCAGCACAAATGTTTGTGCTTTGCCTAGCACTTATATCAATGCAACATCACTTCTTGCTAGTAACAAACAAGAGACTTGCTACAACAGATGCACCTTTTCAGAAGTTTAGAATAAATCATGCTTTTTAACCTGATGAGATCAGGTTGATTCTACTACCTCTCTTAGGTACTGTTATGGCCGCACTACCCTAACAGTGGAACATCACACAGGGTAGGTAGCCTCACAACATTCCTGTGAGGAAGAGAAATGCTACTATTCACTCTTTAAAATGGGGAACCAGATACTGGGATGCTAAGTGATACTAAGCGGCAGAGCAAGGAACTTCTCCCTCCCCTTCCTAGCTAGCCTGGTTTGACCACAACAGTTAGCTAGGATATTGGGTCTGATTAGTCATTTACACGGAGGCCTTTCAAGGCTGCTCTGGCTATAAAGGGGCCTTAACGAGTATATAAATTACTGTTTAGGATTTGCAGAACTGAAATTCCTTTTTCAAGCTTTAACATTAAGTTTGTTACATGTCATTATCAGAACAGATGCACCATTTCAGAAGTTGTGATACATGCTGACACATCACAACCCCTTAAAAAATACCTGTTTCTTACTTACAGCAAAAAAAAAAAGAAAAATAAGAACTTTGAAAACCACAGCTTTCATTGCCTGGTTGTCCAAGTGCTGCATGTATAGACCATGCTGCCATACAGCAGTGTATACAGTTGTTGTCAGCACAGCTCACAGGAGGAGAAAGAGACTTGAAAGAGTCCTTTCCTTTGGATGCTGAGGATGCTAGTCTGAGTCCTGAATGGGAATGCACTATCAGTGCTTTTTGTGCATGTGATTCATGATAATGATAACTTCTGGGTTATCTGCAACCACGTCTAGTGATAAGTTTGTGGTATGACACTGCAGATACCAGTGAGAGTCATAATCTGGTTTCCTCTCCATAAAAGAAACTTTCCAGAAGTGCTTTCAAAGCAGGTCTCCCATTTGGTGACATCTTGATGGGTGTCACTCTCCTTACCTGAACATTTTCTGTGGGAGCAGTTTCAGGAGTTTTGGTTTTCTGACAAATCCTGTGGGAGGACAAAGGGGAGAAAACAGACTGTTATGGTACTACATCTTTCACATTAGGTAAGCTTCTGAACTCAGCCATCTTAAGTCAGAGGGGCCTTGACTTTTTAGAAAGTCTGCCCACTAACAAATGCCTTCCTTAAGTCCTCTAATGAGGCTAAAGATCTTCTCCCAGATCCTCCACTAGGCAGCTCTTGACTCTGCAGTTCTGGGGCCTTCCTACACATTAATTTCGGGTGGTTCCTGGAGCTCTTACTCCCTGGATTCTCTACACATTAACACCTGAAACTAGTTTCAGGAACACTTTAGGTGGCTTAAAGTTATACCACTCCATGGTAGGTTTACCTTTGATCCAAGGTACCTAGCTTGTGTTCCATTAATGTGTAGCCCCTCCCCACAGATGAGCTGCCTGAGCTGCAATTGTCCAGCATCCCAGGATGCAGAGTCCTCTCCTCCACTCTCCTGTTCTATGTGAACAAATTCTCCATCCCCTGAACTGTACTGCCAGGAAGGAGGGGAGGAGAGGGAAGGGGAGGAATGGGGAGGGAAGGGGAGGAGGGGGAGGGGGTTCTGGCACCAAGACAACTCCCCCTCCCATCCCTAGAGATTGACCTTCCCACCCCCAGGGGTTCAACCCTGTGCAAGCAGCCTACAGAGCACATGTAGCAGCCAGGTAACACGACATGGATGGGTCTAGGATAGGAGGCTGCGGTGGGGGTGAACAAAGTAGGGGGCCAAATCAGGCCCCCATGAGCTGGGGCTTCCTTACCTGGGAAAGGAACAGTAGGGCCCCACAAAAGCACCTTCCCTCACCATGCCTAGACACCTCAAAAAGTACAACCAGCACCCCCCACTCCCTAATCCCAAATCTCAATTTATTAAAACATGAGACTCTTTCATTTACTTCCTTTTTATTTCTTTTTCCATTCTTTTTTTTTTTTTTTTTTTTTTTTTTTTTTTTTTACTTATTTTTATTTTATCCTTCAGGGGCTGGATTCCTTCATTTCACCGCCCCCCGCCCTTTCCTTTCCACCTCTGATTTCATTACCCACTTCCATCCCATTAACTCTCCACCTCCCAGCTTCATGTTCCTGCCCCCCTCCCAGCCCATCTTGCACACCCTCACCTAGAGGAGGGATAGAGCCTATCCTGGCTCACCAGTCCTGAGTGGCAACTCACAGCTGTAACTCCTAGTCAAGCCCCTGCCCTCCAGTCCTGTAGTGGCAAGTCAGAACTGTGAAGGTGGGGGACAGTCAGAGAAGGTTTTAAGCCTTAAGATGTGACTGTTCCAAACTTGCTAGCACTAACACCAATCAACATTTGAGCAGCTCAAATGGCAATGTGTAACAATGCCCCTGGTATCATAGCTGTCTAGTTGTGCACCCTCTGCTCAAGGCTTGGGAGCTCTAAGAACAAGTAGAAAGCAGAGTGGTGGAGTTGAGGCTCTCTGGAAAGGGAAGTATTATGCTCTGAATCAGATTTTCTCTCCATGAATTAAGCCCCCTCAGAAGAAGGAGGAGGACATGAAGTGAAGTAGTGGGAGCATGGAGTGGGTTAGAGAAAGGAGATGACTGAAGTATTCTCTCCTGGTGCACGTGGAGCCCTGTCCTGAATTTCCTATGCTGTGCTTTGTGCAGTCTTACACTGGCACTGCCTCCCTCTGAGTCATTTCATCCTAGCCTGGTGGATCTGAAGCCCAGCTCCACCTTGGGGGGTTCTTTAAACAGCAAAGCAACAAAAATTTTGCAGTTTTACTGTCTTTATGACCTGCCAGGGGAGTCATGCTTAGTCCTCTGTAGCTGGGAGACAACTACTACCTAGATAAATTGATCACCATCCTCCCCAAAAGGTGGCCATAAGGAGCAGACTGACAGACGTTGTAGTATTCAAAGAACAACTTATCTTTCTTCGTTGTCCATTTTGGCAGGAAAATTCTACAGGTAGGCCATAATGGCTGTGTCTACATGAGTGGTGGACTGCGTAGTTGCTTAACCGACAGTACTATGCAGAGCTGTCCCCGCAGTTATTTTTAGAAGCTATTGTGCAGTAGCAATGAGTTACCCAAACTAGCTTTGCATTTACTAGTTCAAGTACCACTAGCAGTATACTTACAGCAGCACATTTTTCAGCATTGGCTATAAATAGGGACCTACACAAGGCGTGATTGTGCATATTTTGTGCAAACTGCAAAATCAGATGATCTCTGTGAAATCCATGAGAAAAAAAAATGCTTATTAAAAATAAAATTCTGGCTCCCTTGACAGACATCCCTCTCAGCCAATCAGTGATGAGGGGTGGGGCCCTATAGCAGAGAGCCCTCTCCACCAATCAGTCATGGGGGGCAGGGCCACCAGGGCCCCATAACCAATCAGAGACGTGGGGTGGTGCCAGCCACAATAAGTCTTCAAAAATGGCAGCTGGCTACGTGATTTGCTCCTGAAATCAGCCTGGTGCCTCCTTGAGTTGGGTAGACCCCTAGCTATAAAGTATACCTTAGAAGTAGGGCAGATTAACCTAGGCAGAACTCCATGATGCCACAGCTCTACTGCTCCTGGTACTTGATTTAATTAAAGATGGATCATGACTACCATGTTGATTTACTGTGAATTGTTTTGCCTTTCTCTGCTGCACCATGCCACATGCTCCTCATCAGAGATGTTTGCATAGCATTGATATGATCCCACATACCACTTTAAACTTTCTCGCAGTTCTAGGCAAATTAATTTGTTAACACCATGTCATACATACCTGCCATGATGCAGCTTATAGCAGTAAATGAAAGCCAAAAGGAACAGGATGCCTATCATGAGGCCAGCAAGGGTGGCAACACAGAGAACCCATGTATTATCAGCTTCTGAAGAGAGAGAGAGTGCATGTCAGTATTTCAGGTCATTTCTGTTACTATGCCCATCTGAAGACCATAAACTGTTTGAAATGTTAAAAAATAAAATAATAAAAAAATATTATCACTGCTCAGCAAAAGCGAAAACTGAGACAAAGAGATTATGGGACTTGTGCAAACTCATGAGTAAACCCTCTGACAGAGCTAGAAATGTCCTGGTCGCCTATCACGCCCTCTAATTGCTAGGCTGTGTTCCAGTCCTCATGAAGGGCTCTGTATATCTCATCACCAGGGATCTGTGTTTTCTGTTCACTACAGAAAAACATGGTAAAACCTGGATTTTCTCATTTTAAGGAGAAAAATGTGGGAAACAGCAGATTTGCACTTGCAGGCTGGCAGAGTTCCAGCCTGCAAGGGTCTGGAGGGAGCAGGGGGCACCATGTACATGCACACATGTACACGAGCACATGACAGCCAGGAAGCATGAGAGCAGGGCCCCGCAGGTAAGTCTGGGGGTGGATTGAGGTCCCCATAGGGACAAGGAGTTGGATGAGGTTGGGGCTGGAGCTGGGGCTGCTGCTCAGCCAGGGTGGTGCATGGGGCTTGGGGCCTGGAGCTGGAATGTATGAGAGCGGAACGGAGCCGCGGGCAGTTCATCCAGAGGGCAGTTGGGGGCTAGCTTCCTGCTGCTGCATGCAATCCTGGGGAGGGCATGGGGGGCATGTGCCCCCCAGATTTGTGTGTGGGGCGAGGGCAGATGCAGGCTGGTAGTTGTGGGCTTGGGGCTCCCCACCCTGCTACCCTCCCCTCTGACCCTCCATGGCCCAGCGAGCAGGACCCGGTGTGGCAGGGCAGAGCAGGGCAGGGCAGAGAGGCTCAGTGCCACTACCAGGAACCCCACGCCATCATGGTGAAGCACCCCCTGCCTGCCTGGCAGCATCGGGGCATACAACCCTGCGCTGCCACCCCCACTGATCCCGGGTGGGCAGAGGGCGTCTCACCATGGTGGCGGCACTGAGCCTCTCTGCCCTGCTCTGCCTTGCTGCACTGGGTCTCAGCCGCTGAGCTATGGAAGCCCTGGAGGGGGAGCAGCAGGGTGGGCAGCCCCGAGCCCAGAGCTGCCAGCTCACATCCACCCCCCCACCCTGCACAGGCTCTGCTCTAGCAGTGCCACCCATGTGGGAGGGAGTGCAGGACTCTGCACTCCACTTCACTGCAGTAGCTGCTGCTTCCCACGGGTGGCAGCCAAGGTTCACGTGCTGTTGTGGGGGGGCAGGGGGATGCAGACCTGGGTCCCTGGCACCATAGCTCTGGCAGCTGAGGGCCCCCTTCGGCAGGAGTGGGGAGGCAGGGGGCTGTGGGTGGGGAGTGAGGGGCATCAGTGGGGTGGGGGGCCGAGGTTTGGGAGTCAGGGGCAATGGCATTGGCAGCGGCAGGGCACCAGCATATCAGGGCTGCTCAGCACCACAAAGCAGTGTGGCGGAACAGTTGCAGCTGGACCTGCATCTTGGTGAGTGAAGGGGGCAGGAGGAGCTCTGATTTTTCATGATAAAAAACCCCAAACCAAATGCCAAAATGTATAGGTATTTAGAATTTTATTATAGTGATTGAGGAACTGCTCAGAGGTTTACAAACTGCTTTAAAATTGTAAATATATCAATAAAACATTGTGTTCAACTGATACCTATATATACAGCGGTGTTTCATTTTAATCATAGAAAAATGCAGATTTGCGGGGGAAGGGGGGCAGGGGGGAATGTTAATCAGGAAATTTATGATTTTTAAACAGAGAAAACCAGGATCCTCTGTCATCATTCAACCTATGGCAGATAGCTCTTCAAGGCAAAAACACAACGCAGTTGCTATCTCCTCACAACTGAGGAAATGAGGGTGTTCACTCATTATCTCAAGGCTGGACACTTGAGTGGATGCTGCTCTTGTGCTCTTTCAACTGTTCCTCCAGTAGGGCATGTATACTGGTATCCCAACAAATTTCTATTCTGTTCCTCTTCAGCTGAGTATTATAAAATCCAAGCAGGTGACAGCTGTGACTTAGGTCCCATACATGTATTCCCAGCATAGCTCTGACCAAAAGGGACTGTCTCTTGTGGGGCATTAAGGTGGTTTTGTCTTCATTTCACACATCACCTTATAGCCACCAGGCTGTACTGGCTTGTGGCCACTATCTAGATGGGCCACAGTAATTGGTGATAGAACTGTGAAAGTCTCCATAGCCAAGTAACCATCCCCTGCCTGGCCCTGGCCCTCAGGTTGGACACCCCTATATAATGGGGACAGGAAGAAGTACCATATCAGTCTAGCATTTTATAGAGGATTTCTGTAGCTTTAACAGATGTCCCTTTCCAGACAGTTTATGTGGCTCATTGGAACTGTCAGTTCAGCCTCAAGGTCCCTGCTGCAGTTTGAGCAATGTCACTGTTGCTTCCCTGGGCAGAGATGCATGTGGGTTCATTCATTATGAGTGCAGCCTGAACAGAATAAAAGTGGTACTCACCATTACCTGAGTGGCAGCCTATGGACAGGCTCTGGTTTCCCGCTGGATGAGAGACAGAGCAGGTTACTTGACTGTCCGCAGTGGCGTTAGCTATGCATGTGCTGAGAACAGTCACTGTCCCATTGGGGTGAGATTCATCCTTAGTGCTGTGACAGACTTCTGGGACCCACGAGATTTGTGCAGCTGGTTTCCCTGCAGCTGCTTTGCACACCACATTGCCACTTCCGTCACAATTCACGGTGACCTCGGGAGGGACTGCAAGGCAGGAGAAAGGGAAAAGATTTGAAATGGGTTTGCTGTGTTAGGATGGTGCCTTCCTCACTCCTACCCAAGCACCTTACAAATTAATGGGGATGGGAGTGAAGGTAGAACTGGCAATCAAGGGTCTTTTCACCACATGCCCTCTGGTATCAAGCTGGAACAAAAAAAACAAATGAACTTTCATCCACACCAGGACTAGAGGCTGTTGAGGCCAACATGTGAACACCAACAAAAGGAAGGCTAAGAACTAGTCAGCCAAAGTGCTCCTGAGGGCCTTTTCCTTAAATTGCTTTGATTGACCAAGTATCCAGCTCCACCCCGGAAGCTGAATGGACAGGACCATAAGCTCGTCTGTCCATTATCCAGGTCCCAATCGCCTTCCTTTAGGGCAGTGAGACGTGGTTTTTGTGTCTGGCTCTGCCACTGACGTGTTGCATAAGCTTGATCAAATCACTTCCTCTTTGTACCCAGTTCCTCAATTTGTATCACGCAAGTAATAATACTGTCTTCCTGAAGTAATTTGAGATCTATGTATGAAAACTTTTACACAGAGTTAGGTGCAGCTGTTTGTTGTTCAGAAGTCTGTGTAAACTAAGGGATGTCTTAGGAGTGTGGGACTGTCTGAATTCATCATCATAAGTTTTTAAGTGAGATAAATTTGGTAAATTATAGCACTCTTGAAAGCGGGCGGTTGATTGTGATTCAATATAGTGTTAGCTAATGCTATAAAAGTTTTCACCCATTCAAACAGTTCTTCCAGTGAAGCTCTGCCCAGTAACACTTCCTGCTCTTCCAGTCCTGGGCTTTTCCTGGCAAAAAATGGCTTCCTATCCCAAAATTACGTATCAATTCTGTGAGGCAGATATCTACTCAGCAAGAAGAGATCACCAGGCTCATTTAATGTGCAACTCCTGGTAGTGACTTCAGGTCTGCAGAGGGAAAAGACTAATCTGTTTATGATTTCAACACTTACTCTGAAATGTAGAGGCATAACAAGGCAGTGGCACCCTGGACTGTGGCAGTAGATGGGGCAGCAGTGGCAGTGGCACAGCCAGCTGGCAATTGCAGTGACTGCTATCTTTATGTTCCTCACAAGTGGGAAGCTAGGGCTACTGCCCTGATTGCCTCACCCATGCTCCGAGTTACACTACTGCTGCAGTTGTCTGCAGGAATTAATGTGTTTAATTGGGCATCCAGCTGGAACTGGTGCCTTTAAAAAAATGGCATCTAGGAAAAGAACTACATGGTCAGCACAACATACATCTCCTACCCTTGGTGGATTTTTCACTTCATTGTCTCTTCCTTTATGGGTCTAGTAATCTAATTGCTACCTGTGGAGTCATGCCTGCTGTGAATGGAGGATGTTGGTTACTAAGATTGTTGCTCTGGCACCTTTCCTTAGTTGGGCAGAAGTCCCCTCTAACGAATGGACAGGGATGGGTCTTTACAACCAATAGAAAACTTGTTCAAGCCTGTCCCTTCCAGCCACACAGCGAAAGAGTGAGGTTTCAGAGGGCAAGGGGCAACAGAAGGGAAAGGGGGCTGGAGAGAAGGAAAGGAAAGGGGGTAATCACAGGAATTAGAGATCAAATTGTAACTGGGATTATCCCAGCCTGATATTCTTTCTGTACAGGAATCTCCTAGCTTGTGTTCTCATCCTCATATGGGGAGAGGAGCTCAGTGTGTCAGGCCTGGGTCTGATCATTTAGCCCACTGGAGAATAATACAAGGTGTTTCCTACCTAACACAGTCAGATGGTAGCATCGGTGGAAGTTCCCATCACTGCTTACAATTTCACAGATGTAAAAGCCCTCGTCAGTGAGTTCCACTGATGAAAGCTGAAGGGTAAAATTCTGCTCTGGTTCAGGCTTCCAGTCCAGTCTCTCACTGCAGGTTGTTCTGTTCCCTGTGCGTGTATCTTCCCTGTAGGCCAGGCTGCAGTGAGCTCCCTTCCGTGGTCGTATCTTCCAAGTTACTATTATCAAATTCTCCCATGAAGAGCTAGGACAGGTCAGCAGAAGCTTGCTACCAGTAGACCCACTGATGTTTTCTGGAGAAGGCACAGGGAGAGGAAGATACTTGAGAAGTCATCTAGAAAGTCATTCCAAGCCTTAGAACAATGATCTGTAATGCACTGCACTATTTTATTCAGACCTTATTTCTTCAGAGCCATTCCTTATATTCATAGCTTCCATCACAGACAGCTAATTTAATGTGTGTCTGTGCCCCCAGTCTGTAGGATTATCCCCTGCTCCGTACAATCTTCTCCCTACTGCAGCTACAGTTCCACGTTTCAGAAGGTGAGCCCTGGTGGGGTGGAGGCTGGCTGACCCTCAGGGCACAGCTGTGCTGGAGGAGCTCCTGGCATAACTTTTTATTTTCTTCTGGCTTTGGCAGCAATTGTGATGAAAAATGGTGCTGAGGAGAGCACAGCCTTAGCCATGTGCTGTTCTAGACTGCAGCCATTTCTAGCTATTTGCTGCTACTGTGCCATCCACAGCAGGAGTTTAGGTTTAATAGCTGGAAGCTTAGCAGTATCAGAGAGGCTTGTGGGTGGTACACACCCTGGTCAACAGTTCATAATGTTACCAGCATGAATATGGCATTATATGGTTTATTCTGTTGTAGTTATGCTGGTAGAAGTCCAAGTCTAGACAGAATTCCTCTGACAAAACCATCCAACATATTAAGTCCCACCTGTTCAATATTTTTGCCCATCCCACAAGGACAAATTATGCCTTGGTACACTAGAATAAACATGAACCAAATCCTTTAATTTAATGGAGTTAGGTCAGAATTACACTGAGGTTACTGAAAGCCAAATTTGGATGAGTGTATTTATCTGACAGTGGGCATTTCTACACAAGATGTTTACTTAGCAGTGGACTAACTAGATGTGCAGTAAACATGCCAGGTCTACATGTATGCTCCTATTAGGCTAGAGTAAACTAATTTACTTGTAAATACAAGTACTATCCTGCTGTGGAATAAAAGCTCCACAGCAGTTCACATGTAGATTCTGATCTACAGCTAGCTGTAGCACAAGGGTGTTTCTGTGCTGGGGCAGTCTGCCAGCTAGCCCCATGGTGAAGCACCCACGTGCCCCAGCCAGCCCTTCCGCAGCATGTTGAGCTGGGAAGAGCAGCCCTGGGCTGACAGACTGACCCCCCACTCCCTTTGCCAGCCAGGGCTGCTGTGACCTGGCTCAACATGCTGCACTCCCCAGCATATGTCCAAATGGCAATAAACTCTGGGGTTTACTGCCCTGGAGTTTATATTTCCTGGGTGCACATTCAAGCAGTGTGACTGGGAGCAATAAACTCCAGGTCAGTAAACTCCAGAGTCTATTGCTTTGCATTAATTGCATGTGTAGACATGCCCAGAAACAAGCTGCTAATGTTGGTAGACCTGTAGAGCCAAGGCAGCCTTGGGTGAGGGATTTTCAGTCCACTTCTTCCCCCACCACCAGCCCCTGCTCCCTAGCATTAATTTCATAAAGTTCCACTCAAAAAGCCTTCACTGCTTATGGAGTAGGAGGCAGAAAGAACCCAGCTATACTTTTGGGTCCCACATGAAGATTGTGACATTGGCAATTAGAAGAATCATATGACTTCTAACTTGAGTAAATTTGACCTGGGATTTATGAGGCTAGAGAAAGTGTGTCGTAGCCTCCTCTTAGATTTAGCTCTGTGAATCTGAAATTGTTATATATTTGAGTATGTCTGCTTCATGTGGATGAATCATCATGAGCACTGTGTATTATCAAACTGAATAGAAATATCATGTCTGCACAAGACTACCACAAAAACGTCAACATTGATTGAAAAAGGCAAATTCAACCTTTGCATTCCTACAGAAATTGCTTTCTTTCTGGATTTATTTCCTGCATTACAGCAGACAAAACAAACTTATTCTGCATCTTCAGTGAGCTATATAATATTTAGGCATTACTGAGCTAGGTTTTTTCTTGGGAGATCTTTGTGTTGCATGACTGGCAGTAACAGCCAGGTGAGTGCCCTTGTGTAGCTAGGACACAGGCCTATTTTACTATCACATCATTTAACCAAATGCAAAGTGCCTGGAGTCAGAAGCTCTGTGGTTGCTCTCCACTAGCTCTCCTACTTCTGTCCCTGCTGGAGCTGCACCAGCAGTAACATAGCATTAGGAATATAACAGTGGCCTCAAGTCCTTAGGGTCCGTGAGCAGGTGTGAACTCCATGTCTCTGTGTGCAGACAGGTATAACAAGAATGTCACTGATAGGGGACCGGTTCACTGGTTCAACCAGCACCCCCTGCCACACAGTCCCACCCAGCTAACCCTGCTAAATTCTTGGGCAGAGCAAGGATGGGCCCATGAGGTTGGGGGGCTCCATTTCTCCCACCTGCCCAGCTCCAGGAACAGCAGCTATGAGGTTGCCATTGTCTATGGCCTTGGGCAGGTGAAGGAACAGAGATCCCCACCAAAAGGTCCTGGCCCACCTACCCCTGCTGGAGTCTTTCAGGGAGCTGGGCAAGGCCTGTTAGGCAGGGGGCTCCATTTCCAACCCCCCATTTCCCCAGCTCTAGGCATGGCAGCCTCTGCTACTATCAAGACAGTCGCACAAGGGGAGGGTGTGGGGAAAAGGAGCTCTCTGCACTGTGTGCACCTGGCTCAGCTCCCCACAAGACCCCAGCAGTGGTAGCTGGGGGAGGTCTTCAAGAGGAGACTAGATAGGCACCTGGCTGGGGTCATCTGACCTTGGTCCTCTTCCTGCCTGGGGCAGGGGGTTGGACATGATGATCCTTTGGGGTCCCTTCCGACTCTACAATCTATGAATCTATGAAAAGCATCTTGCCCCACTTGATGCTCTGGTGGAAGTAGCCTGCCACCTTCCTGCATTTTGAAATGAGCTTGCTGGTGGTGCTGGCACCATCACCAGCAGCCCTGACCCCTCCAAGGCATCCCTGACTACAAGGTGGAACTTGTGTGCCATACAGAGGATGCCAAGCAAGTTGGCATCACAGACTGCCTTGACCATATTGGCCCTGTTGTTGGTGACCATGAACCCATGGGTGAGCTCGCCCTGCCCAACGAGCCACCCCTGCACCAAGCAGTTCATGACCCCCATGATCTCTGTTGCCATGTGAAATTCAGGGAGAGGTACATGTGATCTCCACCCTAGCTGCTCAAGATGCCGGAGGTGAAGTGTAAGGCCACCTGTGGACCTGCCTTGTGCAGCTCCTCCCTCAAATGCTCCCTGCATGACTCATATAGGGAGGTCACCCCCACCATCCTGCTGAAGGTGGTGTGTGCAGGCACTTGGTACGATGGGGCCACGAGCACCATGAGACACCTGAACCCTGGCTGCTCAGCTAAGGAGAAAGGCATGCCATCCACACCTGCACTGTACCCAGGGAATAGGGGTGGGGAGGAGCAGCAGTGATGAGGGCGCAGCTTTCAGGTGCCCAGCTCTACTGCAGCTTATCACTGGGAGTGAGCAGGGGACGAGCCTTCCAGCTCTGCAGGCCAGATCCACTGGCTCTGTGGGCCTTATGTTGCCAACCCCTGCTGTAAGTAGAACCGCCACCTTTTGGGGATTGCACTGCTGCCAGAACACCACTGCGGGTGGTAGAGTACCCAGGCCATCGTGCCTTCCAGGGGTCAGTTCCTGGAGTTTTCCCAGGACTTCTCTAGAAGGAGAGGAAGACCCAGATTGGCTGGACACTAGGAAAGAGGAAGAAATCATGGCCTACAAATGCAATTTCTGATCTCCTTTCTCAAAATAAATAAATAAATAATTAAAAAAAAAAGACTGATTGAGTTTAATAAGGAACATAATTACACTTCACCAAAATCTCTGGGGTGGTTCCCTGATGCACAGGTGTGTGTGGGGGAGGTGGGGAGAGTGCAGCCTGACCCTGTGACAGGAAATGGACCTCACTCAGCAGAATCTCAGGCTCATTTGGGTAGGCATGTGAGTGGAGAGATTGCCAGATGCCGGGGGGAACTGAGTGGCCCCCTTGCTTGTGGTTTCCAGGATGCTGGTTGCTCCAGAGGCCCCTAAAATCTCCAACTTTATATGCCCTGCCCTGGAAAACATCACTGTCCATTTCACCTGCCTGCTAAAAACCTGGCACTCCAGGGCCCCAGGCTGATTTGGGGTGGGATGGCAATAGAGTAATTATCAGCTTCTGCACGTGAAGAGGAAGGAGGGGCCTGCGTTGCCCGCTAGTTGTGGTGGCCAGGAGGCTGTATGCTTCAGTACTTGGTTTTCCCACTGTTGTCAGGAAGTTTAAACCAGCTTTAAGTGGCATGTACATCTAGACTTGTGGGGTTTAGAGTGTATTTAGAATTTTTCAAGTGTTGTATCTGTTCACACCCTCTGCCTACCTTTGCCTGCTTCATATGTGGTGAGGTTCATTATCTGCTCTCTTCCGCTTGAGAGAGGGAGAACTGCTATTTGACAAGCTCCACCCCAGAGGTCCCATCTACTGTTACTAGACTGAATATTTTTACAGTGAGGCGTGTTGTTTGATGTCACTTGGGAGTGATCCTTGCTCTTACCAGGTAGTATATAACAAGGCCTAAATGTGGACATTTAGGCTGTTCAGAATAGCTCTGATCCAGCTAAGCATTTGAATTCCTGCCTTTCTAGCACAGGTCCCATTGAACTTCAACTGAACTGTTCACACTCCAAATTAAGCAAGCGAATAAGAGTTTTGCTAACTGGGTGCTCCAGGATGGACACAAAGTTGGAAGATGCCAACCCAGCCTACTTTAAAGATGAAAAACCCTGCAGCTTGGAATTGTGACAAAATGACAGTGATTCCTAGGACTCAGCCCTGGTCACTTGTGTTCATCCTCCAGGGACCTGAGCAGCACTCTTGTTCCCATTTATACCACAGCCATACAGCAACATATGAGGCAGTAAAATGCTGTGGTGCAAGAAGAGTTGTTATGACAAGGCCCTAAAGAATCTGCCTACTAATAGCTATGAATTCAGGAAGTACATTACCGTAAGTAATACTTTGTGGTCTGCAGACCTCTTGCTTCTCCTGGAGATTTGAATTGTTTTCTTCTTTGGGCTGAGTCTTGGGTTCAGTAGTATTACCTGCCTGGGAACCTGTGTACAAAGAAAACTTTCAAACCAACTCGTAACTGGATTGGAAGCAAAGCATTCTTTAGTCTGCTGATTGATGAAAATCTATCTCTTCACAATCTGTTGAAGGCAGCTAAAACATGCCTCACACAGGATAGAAGTGTTGTAGCGTAGACATGAATGGGAAGGGGTATAGAATTTAGGAGAGGGCATGACTAATCAGACTAACACAGCGAATTACCTCTCTAATTTTGATTTTGCCAGACACAACCTTAGCCCTTGTGTTTCACTCTCCTGCTCTTTTACATGGGGACAATAGCAACTTCTTCCAGGCTTCTGGGAAACTTAATTAATCAATGATCATAAAACTTTCTTTATAGAATAAAGGCTAGATTAGTGAAAAGTAGTATTTAGAATATTAAACCATTGGTCTTGGCTTTTATGAGGGAAAAGTCTACTTGGGGGCTTCATATTCAGCACGTTGCCTGAATTCTGCTATTCCATGTAATGCTGCTGAGAGTAGAGTCTTTTATATTTAAAGATTCCTAATAAGAAATCACTCAGGATTACATTTTAATTAAAAGGAAAACCCCTTAGGAATGCTTGGTAACTTGTAAAAGGAATATAATTCCATGTTCATCCAATCACAGATTCCTACCTGTTTGTGACTCTTCTATGTATTTTGAGAATGATAGCAATTCTTTGAAGGTAGAGAAAATAATATTCCAAACAAAAGACCTTCTCCTGACAGTCCTGGGAACAGATGCTGCTGTAACTGTACCCTGTAACATAGTGTTGTTTCTACAGCTTCATGAAATGAAGACTAAATCTGAAGGTGCTAGGAATTTTCTTGGCCAGCAGGTAGGGGAAAGTATCTCATTGTGATCATGTCTACGTGTGCTGTTAATGTGAAGCAATAAACTATGGTGCAATCCATGCTGGAATTTCATAGATTTCATAGATTTCTAGGGTCAGAAGGGACCTATTAGATCATCGAGTCCAACCCCCTGCTTGAGGCAGGAAAGAGTTCTGACCCCCTGCTCTGGGCAGGAAAGAGCACTGGGGTCAAGTACCCCAGCCAGGTGCTTGTCTAATTTCCTTTTAAATGCCTCCAAGGTAGGGGAAAGCACCACCTCACTTGGAAGCCCATTCCATATTTTGGTGACCTTCACTCTAAAGAATTTTTTCCTGATGTCCAATCTAAATCTGCTCTCCTTCAGTTTATGGCCATTGTTCCTAGTAACCCCAAAATGCACCCTGGTAAACGGAATATCTCCTATTCCCTGCTGACCCCCACGGATGAGCTTGTAAATAGCTACAAGATCACCTCTCAGTCTTCTCTTGCAGAGACTGAAGAGTTTCAGGACCCTCAATCTGTCTTCATAGCATCTTACCTGCAGGCCCTCAACCATGCAAGTAGCCCTCCTCTGACCCCTTTCCAGGCTATCCACATCCCTCTTGAAGTGCAGCACCCAAAACTGGATGCAGTACTCCAGCTGCGGTCTCACCAATGCTACATAGAGGGGAAGTATCACCTCCCTAGACCTGCTTGTGATGCACCTACTAATGCAAGAAACGGTGCAGTTAGCCTTACTTATTACCTCATCAGATTGGCGACTTGTTCATTTTTGCATCACCTATAACTTTGAGATCCCTTTCCACTGCTGTGCTACATAGAATGGTACTTCCTAGTCTATAGGTTTATTGGAGATTCTTTCTCCCCAGGTGCAGCACTTTGCAATTATCTTTGTTAAATTGCATCCTATTCTGATCCATCCACTTCCCCAGTCTGTCCAAATCCACCCAAATTCGCTCCCTACCCTCTAGTGTGTTTACTATACCCCATAGTTTGGTGTTGTCTGCGAATTTGGACAGAGTGCTTTCTACACCCTCATCCAAACCATTGATGAAGATATTGAACAGTACTGGTCCAAGGACAGAGCCTTGCGGGACGCCACTGCCCACATCTCTCCAGGTAGAAACTGACCCATCCACCACCACTCTCTGGGTGCGTCCCATAAGCCAGTTTTCCACCTACCTAACTGCGAAAAACTCCATGTCACAGCTATTTAGTTTATAAGAATTGGGTGCAACACTGTCTTGAAAGCCTTTTTAAAATCCAAGTAAATAACACCTACCTTTACTCCTGCATCTAAGCACTTTGTGACCTGGTCATAAAAAGAAACCAGATTAGTCAGGCAGGATCTGCCTGCTATAAACCCGTGCTGGTTGCCCCTTAGCATTGTGTTACCCACTGGCCCCCCACAAATGTGATCCTTAAGATTTTTTCTAAGGTCTTGCCAAGAATAGAGGTGAGGCTAACCGGCCTATAATTACCCAGGTCTTCCTTCCTCCCCTTGAAAATAGGGACCACATTGGCCCTTTTCCAGTCCTTTGGGACCTGTCCTGAGCACCATGAGTGCTCAAACAGTTGCGCCAGTGGTTTCACTATGACACCGGCCAATTCCTTTAGTACCCTTGGGTGAAGATCGTTGGGGCCCACCAACTTAAATATGTCCAACCCCTCCAAGTGCCCCATTTATAACATTGTTTCCTATGGGAAAATTAGTTTCGAGTTACAACGTTTCAGCTTAAGATGTGGTTTTCAGGAACCAATTGTGTCGGAAGTCCGAGGGCTGCCTATATTTTATCTTTTGTTTTCAGACTGTCTGTACCCACCAGCACCTGCACTTCCAGTGTCAGAAATTTTTGCCCTTTTTCTTAAGCTGCTACATTTCTGGCTATACAAATACTGCTGTAGAAATGGAAGGGTTTGTTTAGTTCTGTACATTTTCTCTAGCCAAAGACAGTATAAACATTGGAGTGACTAGTTTGGATTCTGATGATGTCATCAGCAAGGAAATGAGAGAGGCAGAATGCTTCGAGATGGTTTCTTAGCTTTAGTCCTGTAAAAATGTAGGACACAGAGCTGCTTTCCTTCACTTACCAGAGTCAGGTACATGAGAATGTCAGTCAATGTCATCCATTCCACTGGCCTCATCTAAAAATGTCTAAGCAAATCTATGCAGTGAGTGGGTGAATTTGACCAGAGGGCAGAACATGACATGGCAATAGCAACATTGGGTACATTAATAGTGCACAGTATCTCAACACATACATGTAGCATCAGCTTTCTGAGTTGTTGGACCCTCCTCTCCTGAGCTGTCCTCCTGTGACAGAGGACAGTTTTCCCAGTGTAACGTGCGGCTTTCTTCATAAGTGGAAATCAAAAAGGAGAGAAGACAAGTTATGCTTTCTGCTATACCTTTCCATCAGCTACTGTCACGAAGAGTCAGGAATGAGTCAGGCACAAGTCACTTCAGGTGAGTCAGGCACAAACTCAGTCAGCTTAAAATCTCCTGAGTCATGCTCATCAAGTCATTTTTTAGCTTTACAGGAAAGCTGTAGCATGACTCAGAATTCCCCTTGATCCTATTTGAATGAAGAGTTTATTGCCTGGGGAGAATTGTTTTTGAGAAGGCAGAGCAGACGAGAGGCATCAAACAGAGAAGACACGTACTCACTGTAGGAGTGGCAATGTTGGCCAGACTCCAATTCCAATTCTTCCCTTCCTGTCCCAAGTTCTTCTATAGTGTTATGGGCTGCAGTTAGAGAGTTGGTAATTTTACCGAAAGGTGCTTGCACATCTATGCTGTGTGGAGAGATTTTTTTGCATAAGAAGTCTGTGAATTGCATGGGAACCTTCAGGATGGATGATGTTCTTGAAACAAAAATAATTAAAATGCATCTCTTTCCTGTTTGGCACACTTGAATTTCCCCCTGCTTTGGGAGTGCTCAGATCTGTGGTGGTTTTGGCTTAGGCCCATCACTGGGCCAGATCCCTGCTATTTGCTAAGGTCACTTTCTGCTGCAAGGTCATTAAAACAGCTCTAAAGAAGGGGACTGAAGGATCCCACCAGGCTGTTAGCAACTCTTGTATGCCATGAAGCAGAAGAAATTCTGCTCCTGAGGGAACTGGGCTTATTTAGTCTGGAAAAGAGAAAATTGAGAGGGAATTTAATAGTAGCCTTCAACTACCAGAAAGGCTGTTACAAAGAGGATGGAGCTACTCTGTTCTCAGTGGTGGCAGATAACAGGATAAGGAGCAATGGTCTCAAGTTGCAGGAAGGTAACTTTAGATTAGATATGAGGAAAAACTTTCTCACCAGGAGGGTAGAAAAGCATTGGAAGCATTAGGTTATCCAGGGAGATGGTGGAATCTCCATCCTTGGAGGTTTTTAAGACCCAGCTAGGCAAAGCCTTGGCTGAGATGATATAGCTGGGGATGGTCCTGCTTTGAGCAGGTGGTTGGACTATGTGACTTCCTGAGGTCCCTTCCAACCATAATTTTCTATGATTTTATGATTCCTTAAATATTTTTATCTTTCTGTCTGGGACAGGGTTCAGAAATGGCCAGTCTCTCATGCAGCCACTTCTCTAAAACTTGTGCTTCATGCTACTGAACATCAGTTTTCATTAAAAGAAAAAAAAGGAATTCTGTTTTTGTTAAAGTTGCGAAGAAAACCTTAATACTATAAACTGAGAGAGCTATCCCAGTGAAATGATATAGCCAAAATTATAGAATTGGAGTTATACTGATGTAAAGTCCATATGGGGACATTCTGGCTCCTGGCAAACATTACATTTGTTGCATGATTAACCAGCTAATCATACAATAAACTATTACATGCTCCACTTGCACATAACTTATCATGAGATAAAAATGTAAAACCAGCTACAACCATGTTATTTGCTAAATGTGGAAAATATTTGCGGCTGGTTTGTATCGCTCGTTAATTTGAATGTATGGCATGTCACATTGTGTGATAGGTATTTGCTGGGTCCTCCAGCATCCTAAGATGCACTGCGTCTTCCCCCACCTCACCTACCTCCAGTATGGAGCAGCTCATTTGTGTTGAACATAGTCTAAGGCTGCCAAACACAGCCTGCAGCCACCTGCAGGGGGGGACTGGGCATCCACTCTCCCTCTTCATCACTGCAGGCAAACCAGGGCTATGCTCATT